CCGTAATTTGTTAACATAATTTTTATGTCCCTCGGTATCTGGTTTTCAATATGTTACTCAGTCTGGCTTCAATTCCTGCAATAGGAGGTATAGCTAAGGAAATTGGGTGTGCGAGATTTCTCTTGAGACTGAGCTCGTGTCAGCTCAAGGTCGAACCTTCCATAGAGTTGCTCATTGTGGCAGAATTGTGCATTCACACTATCATGCTGAACCGTCATGAATACTTACAAAACACAAAGGTAATAGAGGCTGTTAAGAGGCAGTTCTGAAAAGTATCCTAGAGTCGTTAAAACGGCACCAAATGTTTGGATGGGACGTCTTTTTCACAGCACAAATGCTTATACGCATTTATGAAATATTCTGTGCTGAAAACAAGTAGAGACTTTGTCTCAGACCTCTAAATCCCTTCACTATTAGTTTGAGTAAAAAGCAGACATCGGAATGCACGTCTTTTTGAATGAAAAGTCAGGGTGCCGTCAAACTGGTGAATGAATACTTTTTATGATTCAACACTGAGACAGCACGAGACAGGCAAAATAAAATCATTACAAATTGTGCACCCAGAGTATAAATTTGAATATTGCAGTTCTCAGTTCCTAAAAATTCGCCATTCACAGTTTGTTCTTCTGATTTTTTTTTTCTTTTTTACAAAAGGATAATTGTGGGACCTTATTCACTATGTAAATGTTGGAACATTCATTGCTGAAATTGAAGTGGCCTTTAAGATAACTTTTGTGTTCTCCTAATCACCGAATTTAAGTTCCAGCGTGCACTTCGAAGCTAACCACAAACTTTTTGTCTAGCTTTTGTAAGTATAGTTTCTGGTGTGGGCGAGTCATATTCGCTTGTAATATTTTGCTTCGTGCGAATGTCTTGTTATTATTTTTACCGTGACTTAGCAGTTTAGTACGGTTTTTTTTTGTTTTTTTTGCCACAGATTGCATTAGGCCCTTCTAATTATAGTTCCATAAAAACGGATAGTATTAAGAAAATTATCTTCTTATAGCCTTTGCAGTCTTTACTTGATTCATTTTTAAACCTTTTCTGTGTTGTAGAGACGAGTAGAGAACTTTATACATACACATGATATTCAAGAGGGGCCTGATGAAAAAGGCAGCTCGGTGAACAGGGGTCGATCCACCGCAGTGTGTTGCTCCGAAACAAAATGCGCCGAAAAATTTCAGAAATCAGCCTGGCACCCTCAGAGCAAAATGTATGGAACCTGAAATGAGATTCAGACAAAGAAAAAAACAGGTAGAACAAATGTTTCAAATAATCCGTGATTTCCTTTTTTATATATTAATATGTGCAAAACATTTCCTGAATATACACGAAAGAATATACGGTCTTTAACAATAATTTGACAAGATTAACACGAGGTTGAAGGAAATCAAATTTATCTTTTGGGATTTCCGGATTTTCTATATCTGCATCAATCAAAAGAAAATTTGAATTTTGTATCCGTGCGATTTTTAATCGTCATCCCGCATAAATAATAAGCCAGCGTAACACCTGCGTTTTTTAAAGGAGAAATGTATGTCAAAAAACGGCAGTATTAAAAAAAACATTATAATTTCGACTTTGATTGTGTGCTATTATCTTTTAATCTTCATTTTTTTCATTGGCACTATTATAAGAATTTATTATGATTGCGAAGTTAGTCCAATATGCATTTGAAAAAAATTTGAAAACCCAGAATCACATGAATTTAAGTTATTTTTGTATGCGCCGTTCTTCGAATTGCTAAGTCGCCCATCATCACAATTATCTTGAGAAGTAGGCCTCTTCATCTTCTCTCCATCCAAATCTCCTTTACTTTCAAATTATCACCAAAAATATTCAGAAAAATAAATTGTTTTTCTTCCGCATAGTTGCTTCAAATTTATTGTAATGTTCGAATGCTTTCTCATGATGTAACTTTGGGGCATCTTCACAGTTTGCGCAAAAAAAAAATAAGATGGATAGTATTGTCCTACCAGAACCAAATTTGCCATGCGTATGCTTTAGGATACGTTGAATGCGACTATCGAAGCTTCGCTAGAATATATACTTTTCACATTTGTGTCAAATATAATCAATTTTCCTAGCCCTTCAATAATGGCGTTTTTGTGATTTCTGGTTATTTTAAAATAAACTAAGTTTCGAGCACATTATGCTCGTTATTCTATACACTCAGTGATAAAAAATTAGCCAATTCGTTTATTTTACTAGGTTGTTCTAAGTGTGTCGCCAAGACCCCCGTGCGCGCAATAACATGATTTTTTTCTGTACTTGCATTCTATTCAGGACACTAAAAAACACCAGATTGATAAAAAGATCAAGTAGTATAAACTGAAAATTCGATTCGATTGTCGTAAATAATAATAAACATATAAATGTTTTCTCTCGGTCCACGCCCGCTTAACAACACTGGAAAACATAACAGGAACGATTAAATACCTTCCGTGTTTATTACAATAACGACGGTCCCAAGTGTGTTTATGCGTCTAAATGTCCACGATGCCTTAAAAATGTGTGCGCTGCGGCAGAGCAGAACAACTGGGAACATAAGATATGCATGATGCAGTTTCCCCCCGCTGGCGCAGCTTCAGAACATGCTCTTTAAATATGGCATGACTTCGTTGATGCCCTTTTCAGCAGACAGCAAAAAGGACTACCCTCAAAGAAAACACAAATACCTACCATGCTGCAGGACGGGAGAAAATGAAATTGAAAGTAACTCTCGCACAACGGTTCATTCATCGCGTAAGTCAGCGGGCATGTAGCAACTGAAGTCAGGATCCAGTTACTTCAGTAGCAACCAGACGCGAACGAAACCACTGGAACCAAAATTAAATAAAAGAGAACTACACGCTGAAGGATCAATGCGGGAAAAAGAGATGGCGCCACCCCTTGGAGAGGTTACGAATTATTTTTCATAAGCTTTTCACGAGCGGCGCGGGGCGGCGCGGTGTCCCACTTAGACCGCAGAAGCTTTCCTCCCGTTCAGCTTGTCCGCCGCGACACTGCGGTCACCAGCGAAGCGATCTCCCCAGCCCAGCACCCGCATGTTCGTCGCTTCGGAAAGCGAGCAAATCACGCATCATGTACACAAACACTGAAAAGAAAACGGCGCAGGAGCCCTTTTTTTTTTTTTTTTGCAAAGTCTATATTTCATTCCAGCTTAAGTCCCGACGCAGCTGACGCTACGAACTAATGGGAAAAATCAAGCAGCTTCAAAAGCGCAAGTCACTGGGCCTTTTTATTTATAATTGGTTCATCGATGATAGAACACGTACACAAGCATGATGGTGCGCTTTTGACGCTGTCTGATTGGTGTTATCAGCTCGTAGCGTTGGTTGCGTCTGGACTTCAGCTGAAACGAAGTATTGAGGGGGGGGGGGGGGGGGTGATCAGACCGTAGCGCCCCAGGCGCCTAACTTTAGAACTACACGGATGTGGACAACAGATAACAATGACTCAGCACTTGGTTGACGTAACCAAACGCCGAGCGTAATAACATCGAAGCGACTACACATTAAAAACGTCGTACATACATTCATCATCCGCATAATTGTTCTCTAAATATTATATATGATTTAGTGTCAGCTGGGAAAAGGCTTGCGTTAGGCTGGCCATCTGAAATAAGTGTACAGAATCCCAAATTATGGTAATTTAAAAAAAAAAAAAAAACGGCAAGTTATGTAGGATTTATATGTTGGAAAGTCATGTTTCTACACTTATTTAACCTTGCCGCACCCATTTTCGCAGTATGAGGCTGTGAGGGCGCAGAACTTACGCTTCTTTTAGATCAACTGAGTTGTTTACCACAATGTCAGTACAATTTATTTATTTATTTTCGTGTTTCATGTTTGCAAGACCGACGTATAACAACAGTGTACCCCTGTTGTGTGGTTTTAGCGTATCCATAACCGCGGACTAAAATGGCATTAAAGGAAGAGCGGCACTTCATCTTTTATATTTATATTGACAATTTATTTTTAACGCGTGTGCAAAACTATTCATTAATATCCTTACTACACAAGAAACGAAACATATCTGTCTCATGCACTATATAATTGAGTGTAAATATTTTATTGTTTCGCGTGTTTGTATTCTATTCTATACTAAATCATAGTTGTTTGTGTGTGTGTGTTTGTGTCACCTACCAAATTGGAAAATGATTGGCGTGTACAACCAAAGGGGTGATATTACTATCATTGAAATTGGAAAACACGCAGGCAAACTGGCGAACGAATTCCACAATGATAAATCCAATACTGGGAAAAGACATAGAGAGAACAGACAAGAGCGCACACCGTTTTGTAGCTGTGTTTTGAAACGCTGTATGCGGTTGCCCGTTTGTGTTTTTATATGTTCCCAGTTTAGGGTATATCATTATGGTGTGCTCTTAATAAATCTGTTACATCCTTATAATATTCCTAACCTTGAATTTCTAGAAGTTTAAAATTTTCACCTTTCAGAAAACCTTAAAGCGCATCTCCGACATCTACCTGATAAAAGGCTCTAAGTCATTGCTATACGTACCGGTTATAACAAAGTCGGTTATAACGAAATAGTGGCTACAGCGAAGCGATCATCATTTCCCATTCTCTTTTGCACTTTGTTAACCGAAGTCGGTTATAACGAAATACCGGATATAACGAAGTGATTTCCGATTCCCGTTGGCTTCGTTATAACCGGTCTCGACAGTAAAGGCTCTATATGGTTGCTATACGTGTAGATAATAACAGAGAAGAGGAGACGAGAGCGTGAGGGAACGTGAGAACACCAAGTCCTGGTTGGAATAATTAGTGGCTAGAATCTACTCACTTTTCAAACGTGTTCGAACCGGGTTCGAACACTGAGCATAAAAAAGGCAACTAGCTTTGCGCCTACCTACAACTTCCAACAAGAGCTCGCTGTTTTGACGTCCTCGCAAACTCTTATCCGCTCATTTCCCTCCCTTTTTACGCTTATAAAAAGCCACTCACGACTCGAGGTTATACCTAGAAGACAGCACCGCCGTGCAGGTAGTATCACAGTGACCGAGATAGTGCGAGGCCGGCCTGACTCCTCCTCGTCGGCTCCAAGACGGGGCCACGGAAAGTCCACGAAGGAAAAGGGTGAATCCAGGTCGGAGAGCTCGCTCGTTCATTCCGGTCGAGAGGCTTGCCGTCACAGCGCGCCTTCCGTATGTTGGAGGGCTATGACTGAAAATGGAATCGCGTTTCAGGCTCCAGACATCTGGAGACAAGATATCGGTGTTCTAACAAGATTACGCAAATGCAAAAACCCATTGGTCGCAATCGTCGATAGACTTCCATATTTTGCTAAAGATATCTTTTTTTTTTTTAATATAAATTAGGAGTAGTTGCTTTTTATCCGGTTCAACTTCAGTACGTGATGAAGACCTCATTTCAGTTAATTTTTTAGACACCAGACACAAACCCGATATATCAGGACCAGATAACGATAAGTCTTTAACATGTGGTTTCATGAGAACATATTCATAGGCAGACATATCGGTCAGGTATGGATAAGGCATCAGCAGCACCCGAACATCCTGATATACCAAAAAAAAAAAAATTTGCCATGCTGAAAAATCTTTTATTTGTGCGGCCCCAACGTTTCATGAATTTGGCAGAGGGGTTATTTTTACGACCTCGTTTTGTAAATGTAAAGGGCTGCATGTTCGCGTGCCCTTAAACTTTGCAATGTGAACTTTGCAAAAATAAGTGGAAAGCGAACACTAAAGCTTTTACACTATTACCCTTCACACGAAATCCTTAAAATGGCATCGATTTCTGGTCTGAAATCCCGTTTTTAAACGCCGCGAGTCAAACATCAGCTGAGACTCACTAGTTGCTCCGTGCAAGGCGGCCTCCGGAGGAAAGGCACGTCGTACGTGTGCTGGTGTTGAGCGTCCATCTCTTCCGAGGCCTCGTTGTGCTCCCCGGCCCTCAGCCTCCCTGTGGTCGTCCAGGTGTGCTGCGGTGGCGGCACTCCGTCGACGAAGGCGCACACGCGGCTTCCGGCGTAGGGCGACGGGAAGTAAAGTTGCTCCCGGCAGGCCACCTGGTCCGGCTTCTCCCAGACGCTCATGGGCACCGTGTCCACGGCCTTGGTGTTCTCGGGCTCCTCCATATCTTCTGGAGAGGAAGACCAAGTCGAGAACCATGACGCTTTTGGATGTAGAGTAGATTGTTGGGCTCGTTGGTTTTGGAACTTGGAATACACTTTAGCGCTCAAAAACAAGGACAAAAAGACGAGAATCAGACACCACTGTGCGCTGTTCCGAAAGTTGTCGTAAAAATCGAGTTTTTCTTACCACACAGACCATAAAGCGTGTCTACTTCGACCTAGTTTAATAATCTAGTTCATCTCCCAAACTCTGCACATTTCAAGGCACTGGACCCGAGCTAGGCGAGAGAAATCAATCGAAGGCCTTGTTTGGTGTTGAACTGGCAAATTTTGATTATTTCCACCTAGAGGACAGAGGGTCCTCATTACGCTATCGTCAGTGGATCCCGCGTCAAGCAGGAAAACAGACTGCGCTTTGACTAGAGTCACTGACAGGATGGCACAGAGAGCTTTCGGTGTTCCCGCCTCCAATTAATAATTTGTTAACACTGCAGTGCCTCGTGGGATTCGAGCGTGCACGCGCAGCAAGAAATTTCATACAGAAAATTTTAGCAAACGCGCAGCAAACAGCAAACACGCCGCACGTTTCATAGCGCTGAGGTTTAAGCATATTTCAACACATATACAATATGCCCCCAAAAATGTACCATTTGTTTTTCTCAGAAATAAATTATGCGTCGCCAAATGCTCATTTTCTGTCAAAACGTAGCGCTCGCGGTCTGAACCAGTTGCCAAGGTTTCAGAATTAACCGTTGCCTCAATCAAAAGTTATAAGCTATTTTTGTTGGAAATTCGAAAAGGAAAATGGGGCCCGTTTTCGTAGACTGGTGCCATTCAGCTCTACTCGAGAACTCTGTCGGTCACAATTTTTCTATCGAAAAATTAAACAAAAAAGTGACGAATACCTTTTTAATAAGATAACAGTTTGTTCGGAAACTTTGGCACCTGGTTTGAACCACTAGCTTTACATTTGGGCGGAGAATGAGGGTTCGGCAGTGAGTAGTTTGCGGAAAAAAAACACCCTGTATTTTTTTACACCATCTGGTTTATCCTAAAAGTTGAGTGCATTGTTAGCACAGGCACGGCTGTGTGGATTTCAAACGTGATATTCTTGCATTAGTCATTCTACGAACAAAGCATCCTGAAGAGTCTGTTCATAGCAATTATCTAAATGAAGTATAGAAAAACGGGCATAAGTATAAGCACGACCGGGCTAGGCAACGGCATTCCTTACGGCCTTTGCTATTGATTTAGAAGTAATCCGAGTTTTTGTTACATCATTTAGAATATTACTATGAACAGACTCTTCAGGATGCTTTGTTCGTAGAATGACTAATACAAGAATATCACTTTTTAATTTGGAAGGGTGGCGTTGTCGTGGGGGAGGAGGGGGGGGGGGTGGCAGGTCAACGCCACTCTTCCGAATACTGCCTAAACCGCGTTGAACCACTCTTCAGACCGCTTTGAATGAAAATGTGTGTCAATGTGCTCATTTGAAACCACTGTAGTGTGCTAATTGAAATACTTTTGGCTTTCGAAAAGCAGACGCCTGATTATGAAAATTTCTTTTTTTTTTTTTTTTGTGCGAAGACAAAGAAAACGAGTTTTGCGTAAGTCTCTGCGGGCCAGAGGCCTCGTTGCCTGTAGCTCTAACTAGTCTGGAAATTCCTCAGATTCAACCCCGGAGCCAAAAGGTCAACACGGTGACATAAAGGTGTCTCCATAGAACGAGTGAAAGCGCTGTAGGAGCGGTGATGCTCGCAGCGACCCCACCGAGCTGCGGTGGCAGAGAGAAATTACCCCCTCATGTGAAGGCCGTAAGAAAGGCTGGCTTTTCATTTTAGCCCGGCCGTATTATAGCCTAGATATTGGCTATAATTTGGATTCCGTGTTTTTGGAGTTTATTTCGCGTGAAATTTGGAAGGTGTTTCTTGGAGTTAATTTTTTTCCTGGTGATTAGGGGTTTATCAGAGTTTATTTTTCTTAGCTGAAAATTCTTCGAAATTCGGAGTTTATTTTACTGCGTAACACTAAAAAAACTAAGGTCTAGGTACCATGACCTGTTGTCCTGAAGGGACTTCGACGTTCAAAAAGGTAAACCCCTTTTTTCAATATTTCTAGATTTCAAAAGAAACAAGTGGAATCTCCTCACGCCACTGTCTTTATTAAATTGAATTTATTTCTGAAGTTTAATTATTAAATTAATCTTTATAAGAGAACCTTATGCTTTTATAGATTTTAATTGTAAGACTCCGTCTTTTTTGCTGTTTATTTTTGTCGCTTTGACATCGAAATTCGGAGCTTTACCAATAAATTCGAATTGACAAAAGTATTTACCGGCGAGAGTTTTCAGATTTTTTCAGATTTATCCGAAAACACGGAACCTTATCTATAATGTTAAATTATCAACAAGAAATCTAGCCATATCTTATTTATATTCGAAGATAACTTTTCGCAGCGTGTCGAACGCAACGTTTAAAACAAATTCGTAGTTTGCTGCATATTGAAAACCAGCCCCACCTCGTCGTCTTGCCAGTGACAGTCTTCTCCGGGAGACAACGCAGCAGACTACAGCGAAAACCATAAACAGGACGAACAGCACGCACACGACGGGGACGATGATGCGGATTTGCCGCTGCTGGGAATCGACGGCTTGCGTTAGTCGCGGCGGTGACACAGTTCCTGCAGAAGACGAAAACAATTATGGGAGTCTCTATAAAGCTTGTAAGAATTACTTCTACGCTTATATAGAGTCAGTATTTGCTTTAAAGTATATCTAATGGGTGTAATAAATTATTCAATTAACTATATGCATTAAGGGAGTATTAAAAAATTCGGAACAGATATTCTGGCCATCCATGTGCCACAAGTAATTTCCTAGACGTAGTGCGCCAAAAATGTAAATACATTTATACGACGTCCTGACATCGCTGGAATTGGGGATTATTACTCTCCGGGGTTTTTCACTCGTTGGAGTATAAAAAACTGGAGCATGCGGCCGCGGATTTGGTCTAATACAAGCCGGAAGACGAGGCCTGCGCATGACGTCATGGTTAGTGGATCCCGCCGCAAGCAAAGTCAAACACGCTGAAGCGAGACGAGAGTAACCGCAAAGCGGCAGGCGCGTCCATCTTGGCAACGACGCGTGAAGTGAGACGCTGCGGAACGCGTTGTCGTCGATACTGACGCAAGCTCGAAGGCGATGCGTGGATTCGCTAGCCTTGTCTTCTAGGTGCTATTGCCTAGTCGGTGCGTCACTTTAATTTTTTTTTCATGTAATTTCCGTTATTTAGCGCCGTATTGGCCGGCGTAGTTTGTAGTCTCCAATAATGCGATGCTCAAAATACGATTGGTTTGCACCAGTCTTACAAAGTTACCACTCCGGAGTAGAATCTCTGTGGGGTTATTCTGCACTTTCACTCTCCCGGAATGCAATGGGAATGCAATGGTAGGAGAGCTGGAAAGAAGGGAATAGGAATGGAATTGTATGCCTTATGTCCGGATTTGAGTGGGAATGGAATGGGTTTGGTTCTTATGCGAGATGTGTCGATCCTCAGCTAGGCTTGCATGGGCTGCTGGCGCAGCGCTAACACATGGTCAGCTCTCGCTGACCAGATGGCTCTTGAAACAGCATGATTGTACTAAAAGTGACCGGCGGCCTGATTGTCTCACGGCCTCATGTAGTTTGGAGGATGAAAGTGGCGCGCCCCAGTGGAGAAACAACCAAAGATGAAAAGTTGTTCATGGACATGGTTCCTGGCGCCGCCAGAAACGGCAAAGCGGCTGTTGTAAGTATACGCAACTAGCATGCGGTTTTTAACCTAGCAGATCCTCTAGTGCTCGCGTGGAAAGCAAATAAAAATTGGATTGATTATGGTAAAAACATCGCGAGAATAATACAGCAAACGTAAAATTATACTCTTTTAGCAGTTTCCACGATATGATCCTAAATTCCTTCGTGCTGGATCGGTAGCGATTCCACTTTGTCGGTGGTTTTGTGCGCTTCTGGCATCGCATAGAAATTTGGCGCAGGTGTACGCGTCGTCGCTTCGGACAGCACACTACTCCGTTCTCCTTTACGCTGAGATGGCTGTCAATGACACGAGCACGAGCTAGCCCTCACTCCTAGGAGTGAGGCCGGAACCAGCTTAAGCTAGTCCCAGCTTCAAGCTGGGTTATTGCCCTGACATGCCCAGTTTGGCATGCTGTCATGGTGGTTGATCTGGTCATACTAGTCATGTTGGTTGATCAGGTATTACTGCTCATGCTGGTTGATCTGGTTCCAGCTTCCAGCTGGGTTATTGTCCCAGCATGCCCAGTTTGGCAAGCTGGTCATGGTGGCTAAACTGGCCATGTTGGTGGACTTCCAAACCAGTTCAACGTGTTAAAATTATATACAGAATAAACAAGCCAAGCTCTTCAGAAAAGCCAACTCGGCATCCAATTTATTATTTTCGTACTTGCGGCCTGCTCATATGAGCTCAGATGCTACATATCCTCGACGCTGACACAGGACTAATCGACGCGCAGTCAGTGGTTTTTGGTGCAAAGCAAGCAATGTTAATAAAACCAGATTGCGTATCTCTCAACACGAAAAATGCGAGGCACACGCCCAAAACAGACAATAGCAAAAGAAAATACTACACGCATGAGAGAAGCGAACTTGGGTCCCACCAGTGAAGGGGGCGAAGCGGCCTCTTGCGTGGTCGGCAGAGGCGAGGAAATCCGTGTAGCTTGAATGACATTGGCGAGACTCCTCAGAACCACCGTCATTCACGAGCACACACACGTTCGAAGACACGAAGCGACGCCCCAGTCGGGACGTCCGACCTCTTCCCGCACTGAACGAACTGCCGCTCGCTGTCTCCTCAAAACCCTATTCGCTTGCATCGTCGTTCAAATAATCTCCAAACAACGCGCACACACCCGTCCCTTCGAAAATCTGCCCAAGCTAGCCAAACGTGTCTCAAACTCTCCGTTCCTACCTCTCTTCCTTTTTTTTCTCGTACACAAAGGCAGCTAGCAGTGCGCGTGGAGCGACCGGTCGTCTACTAAAAACGAGAGGACAAACAACAGGACGTGGCCTCGTTCCAGCTTAAGCCGACCTTGCCGCGCGCGCTCCCAGCAATGCCAATTCCACCATCTCTAGCCGACCTTGGAGTGCGCGCTCCTAGCAAGACCAGCTTGACCACCACGATTATTAGTTCGACAAGCTTCACCAGCTTGTTTCCCAGCTTGACCACATTGGCTCCATGGAAAACCAGTTTGACCAGTTAGGACAAGACTGGCTCCGAGCTACACCAGATTGAATCTAAAACCAGATTTTAGTTAGACCATGCTAGTTTTTACTTAAACCAGACTGACCACCTTACATTCTAGCTTGTCCAGCTTAAACCAGCTTGATTGCCAGTTAAACCACTTTTATAACCTCATTGACCAGTTTGCCCAGCTTAGTTACCAGCTTGACCAGTTTGATTTCCACGCTGGCTTTTCCAATAGGGCTTGCTTTGAGACGCGCCTTTCCAGCACTAACGCTTGTTCTGCGGAAGAACGTCTAATAGCCGCGATCTCGTGCTCTCGTGCTTGTGGCATTAGTTTCAGTTTCAGCTTACAGGGAAACCGCAGCGGTTTTGTATTTGCGTAAAAACACTTAAACAGTCTTTGCTGGGCCTCCAGAAGCATTTATATCGAGATGTGTGTCAATTTTGTGCACGGAGGCTGAAAAAATAATTTTAGTAGGACCACAGAAGCCCTCTTTTTCGGAGCGTTAGGTCATAAAGGGAGTTTTCGGGATCTCCGCCTTCGTGGATCTTCAACGCCCATTAAAGCTATGTACGTGCAGTCTTGCTATCTTTAAAAAAGGTCAGAAATAGACGTCATTACCGGTACCAGCACGATGGAAGAAAGCTGGCAAGCTTGCAATTGCACGCGCTGCCCAGACGAGCGACACGCGCTTATCGGACGATTTAACCCGTTATGACTTAACGACTGGTCGGAGGTTTTGCGTGTTTTCTCGCGTTTGATTGCAACTTCGGAGAAAACGAACGTGATATTCAGATTCACGGGAAAAAATTACTCTGTAATTGAACTTTAAGTCGTTTCATGTTCAATGAAGTCTTCAGCTTCCCTTTTCTGGTGAAGGGTGTATTCGCCCTTTAATGTTTGGCAACACGTTTAGGGGCGCCATCTATTAGGCTGCCCCAACGCCATTTTGGTTCACATATTTTTTTTACTTACCGTTATTTTGTCATAAAAGTAAATGAAGTCTGACAGTCCTATAAGCGGCCATTTCTAGAAGATAGAGTGTATATTTGATTTTGCAACTACTGCGGACCCGACGGCTATTTCAGAACCGCAAGTGGTTGGGGGCAATTTGCACACTGGCGCCACGACGTTTCAAGTCACGCGAGAAATAGCGAATAGCTGTGTTGTTCGAAGCAGCAGAAATATAACTTCTTCTTGGGTCACGCACAAACTAGATATTTTTAAGGCCTCATCAAAGAAACAACACGCTTACAGTGTATCGGCAGAGGATTTGTCAACAAAATGGATGGTTTTAATTTCTCTAAAACTTTGGTTGGGGCCAGTTGGTATACATATCGACGAAGAGGCTAATTAAAAGGCGCGAACAAACCCGGACGAAAAAAACACACGTACGACACGAACAGTAGTACACTACTCCGCCTGTCTGTGTCGTACGTGTTTTTTTTTGTTTTTTTTTCATCCTGTTCTGTTCGCGCCTTCTAACCTTTAAATTAATTTCTCTCGTCCGTTGGGAGCTTTTTACGCTTGATCGCGCAATCGATGTCTGCAGGGACGCCAAGTCTTACGAATCCTCTTGAGCGACCACCGCTCGGATTAGTAGAATGAGTTGTTTGGGGAAGCTATTTGCAGACACTTGGAGTTGTCTGCGCTTGATAATCTCAACTTTATTGATGCTTTTTTCTGGTAAAACAATGTCGTTGCCTAGAGTCATTGTTTTCCGTTCATGAATTAGAGAAATGGGATGGAAGGTTTTCAGCTATTCCAGGAGTGGAAAAAGAATGGAATCGTTGGAAACTCAAATTCCCCGTAATGAATATAGAATCGAAGGAGGGTGTCCTTCGATTCCATATTCATTACGGGGAATTTGAGTTTCCGACGATTCCATTTTTTTCACAACTTTGGTTTGCACTATACCTTGGGTGGATGCACGTAGCAATAGTGGTGGCATTGTTGCTGCTGTGTCACACCCTCGTTTATCCTATCTGACCGACTCCAGGAGCAAGGTGCCTATCTGAGGTCGTCTAGATAGCTATAGACCGTTTTACTGAAAGAGGGGAAGAGAAAAAAGGGGAAAGGGCTACTTGCGCTATTCCCCTTGCTGGTTGTGTAGGAAGAGTGAAAGTCCCGGATGAGGAGGCTTGGCCGGTGTTGGGTCTATGCAGTGCTTGAACTTCGCGCTTTCTTCCGTTTTAAACTTCTAAACTTAATTGGAGCCAAGGGCTTTGATAGCGACAGTCCCCCGGTCATCGGTACACCATTGCTGGGTGATAGGGTGCACGAATAACGACAGAAAGCGTCGAATACTGTCCGAGGGCCTACGTAGCTTGCATGGAATTCGGCAAAGCGAGTGCGGCTGCAATGTTTTTAAGCTCCATCGCTTTCCGTATGACTGGAAATGATGAACCATTTATCAATTTTTGCTTACAATGGGCATAATTCAACGTAGCCTTTTTTAGTAATCAACAAGTGATACACAACACGGGAACCTCAATTAACTTATGTAAACAGCCGGAGCTGCTATCGATCGTTTTGCTGCGCTGCTTTTATCTTGCGTGTCCGACTGAATAGACTTATTGCTAAATTACCCAAGCCCCAAGGAGGACGCAAGATTGTAAGTGTACGCACCGGACGCGCTCGCCTTCCCCGTGTAAATGATTCGAGGTAAATAGCCAAATTAAGGTGCTGATGAACGCGCGTGCAAGGTGATATTTGTTTTAGACTTCTGCCTTAGAACAGTTACAACTGCTACTGCCAACGCTTCCTGTATTGGCGGCGAGATGTTTTGGTTGTGGCGGGTGGCGTCCCCTTTGTATTTTTCTTTGTCCGCCAGACGAATAGTATACATTAGGTATAGCTACTGCATACGCCAGAACGTGCATCACGTGTGACTACACTCGGTGCATGTTCATTAGTGCTTGCAAAATTTAGCAAAAGTGGTCGTCGTGGTGCGACATTACCACCGAATTCCTGCGCGCGAGTGCCTGAGGCTCGTTTCTCAAGCCTCCTGTCGCTTCGCTTCTCTCTCGTCTTCTTCATGGTGGTTTCCGTATAGCATCGCGTATTTGCAGACGCGGCTCATAATCGATGTGACCTTACTCGAGCAGTTGGGACTTGCTCTCAAAAAAAGGCGCGCTAGCTTACCTCCGTCCAGAGTGAGTGTGGCGAACGCGTAGACAGCCTCGGTGGATCCAGCCTCGTTGTGGGCGGTCACCAGGAGGTCGTACCAGGTGGCCGGTGAGAGGTCACCGATAACCAGCGTCGTTGATTGCGGCGGGTGCTGCTGCGCCGGGGCGGGCAACCTGGCCGCTGCCGGCGTCCATTCCCGTGCGGCCTGTTGCTTGTAGAGCACCACGAAGTACGCAATAGGGCAACCGCCGCTCTTCCACGAGCTCAGCTGAAGTGTCACCGCCGTTATGTTCAGCGACACCAGGTCTTGCAGCTCGGGGGCCACGGGTGCTACAAAAACCAGACATTTCTGCTCTTGGAGAGTTTGAGGATTTCGTGTAAGAGCAAACGCGAGCACTCTGCGTTTGCGTTAGCATTGCGTGCTCCACACTTCGCCTGCGGCATATGCACGCAACGCAGCGAGCTATACCACTACCAACTAGAATATTAGGCCTGCGCATGACGTTACCCTTAGTGAATCCCCGCCCCGAGCGGCGATCACGCTCAAGCTCGAAGACATCGCCGCAACACGGCAGACGCATCCCTCTTGGCGGCGTCAAGGGATAACGTCGCATTCCTTGTGAGACGCTACAAGACGCACTGTCGATGATGCTGACGTAAGATAGACGACGCTGTGTGGATTGTTTGGCAATGTATTTTAATTACTCTTGGAAAGGATGCAGGACAGTTGGTAGGACGCTAGTGTGCGCATTCTTGTCACCGTCCTGCAAAGGGAAGGGAAAGGGGTCACTAGTGATGGCGTATGGGAGGCTTTGCCATCTAGGTGGGCTAAACTTGCGTCCGCATGCTTTCGTTCTTCGCATGCGTACGCAGCGGGTTTCTGCGTGCCCTTTTTGTTTCTCTTGTTGCGCGCGAGACAGAGCGAGACGTCCCACAGATTCAGAAATATAAAACTGCTGTCCTCATAGTTAAAAACAAAACAAAACTAAGCGCATTCACCGCCGGCAACCCGGAAAGAGATTCACAACATTTAGGTAGCGATTGGATTCGTGAGATTGGATTGGCTTGGCCGAATACCGGCCTTGAATCTTGAATTGCTTAGATAAGTTATCATCCGCGCATCTCGATGGTGATGCAACTGCCTCCGTATGCGCTTGCGTTCCGCTGTACTAAAAGTGCTAGATTGACGAACTCTGCGGCGTTCCCCCAAGAGCTTGAGTGTGCCGTAAGCACTGCTAACGCAGTGGTCACTTACGCTATTATGAAACTCTCTATTATTTAAAACTGAATGTGAATGAGGGCCGAGATTTCTGAGGAAAGGTGTTACGGAACACCACGGAAACCGTAACGAAATGTACCTGACATGGTAATCTATGAAAAAGGCTCGAGGCACTACTAAGCAGCTAAGCACTTCTTATAAGTTGTGAATGCGAAAGCATGCAAGCCGCTTGTCCGCTCCCTTATTTTGTCTGCTGCGTACCGCCGGCCAGAGCACGCGCTTCCTGGGCGCGGTGACTTTGGACGCTCCGTGTTAACGGCGCGCTGACGGACACGCAGCGCCATGGGGTGAGCAGTCGTTGAAACTGACGCCCGCAGCGGCCAATGGGAGCCTCGTCGACGTGCGCCAGCCAATGGAACCGAAACCGAGAATGCATCAGCTTTACTCCGCTCCTTTGGGATCGGGGAAACGAGGTGTCGTTGTCTAGCCTTTTCGAGTGGTTTCATAGCTGCGAGCTGCCTTCACTTGGAGAAAAGATTTAAGGTACTGTTTGGCGCGCTTCAAACTGATGACGTCGGCTTGCTCCATGGGACAGTTAATGCTTTGGCATTAAAAGTGATACATTGAGAAGGAAGAACGAAATTTGGAACGCGCAGCAACAAAAGTTGGAACCACGACTACAAGACTGTGGGGTTGGCGTTCAACCACTGCGCCGTTTCCCTTGTCCAGGGGGACGAGTGCGTCCAAAAAACGTGGCCAAGTAAAGTTCGTTCACACTTGTGCGAGCGACTAGGACCGATTCCGTTAACCTGTCTGTATGACCCTTGCCACTTCTTACTTCCGGGCCGCGCAGCAGGGATCGCTGTCGTAAGCGGCCTAAAAAGCGGCTGTTTCAGAGTCGGTCGTAGCCGGTCGCAAAAGGGTGGACGAGCCTTAATGTTTGCATAGAGGCCCGTTCACACACTTATGCATGACTAAAGCGCCGTTCACACTCTTGCGACCGAGTAAGACCGAGAGAGACCAGACCGGTTTTTAAGCCTTTTGCGACTTCTTAGGACCCGGCGCGCTGCTGCGGAGCTGGTTCTAAGACGTCGCAAGAAGCTTAAAAACCGGTCTGGTCTCTTTCGGTCGTACTCGGTTGCAAGAGTGTGAACGGGCCTTTTGACCGACTTCGACACGACCGATTTTTAAGCCTCTTGTGACGGCTTACGACCGGCCGCATTGCGGCGCGTCTGGTCATAAGCCATCACAAGAAACTTAAAAGCCCGTCTTGTCGAAGTCAGTCGTAGTCAAACACAAGCGTTTGAACGAGCCTTAAAGCCGTACTGTAGCTTCCTCAAGGCCTGACCACAAAAGCGGCGTTGCGGCGTCTTATCATGCTCGAGTCACGGAAGAATACGTCCATGACTCGAGCATTTAATAATAATAATAATAATAATAATAATAACAATATCTTTACTTCCATCAATCTTGATGGGGGAGCCCGAGGAAAAAAGCTGCGATATGCAGCTTGACTAGTCCTCGGTCCCCTTACAGTGGTCAACGGCAAGCATCGAGAAACAAAGATGAAAATCACATTCACTAGCAGCTGAAGGGATTGTTAACAGAAAAAGAAAACATATCAAATAACGTTTTATGAAAATATAATGCATCATGTACAAAAATATCCACGCAAGTCTTTGAAAGTCAAGTTTTTAGGGAAACATTACTACTGCGCAAAGTATTTAGCAAATTTGGAAGAGTAAATTGAAGCATTTGAGAGCCATAGCCATCTTCCACTTCTCCGCGTGACGAGTAGAATACACGGGTGAATTTTCCTTCAACAATGCAAGATTTTCTAAAAAACATGCCCCCTTTATTCTTTCACTCTTAAAACTGGTACAAAGTCGATATGATTTGGTCTATAATAAACGTTTGTCACGTCTGTCTTTGCACTCTCACAAAGTGCTTGGAACGAAAACAACAAAAAAGTTCAATAAAACAAAAGTGCATGTCGAGGCTTCGGGATTTTATAAAATACATATATTTTTTTATTTTTTATGACTTTTCTTTTTTATATAGCGTTCGTGAGCAACGTTTGAAAACTAAACGACGCACAGCCGAAACGCGATCTAAATATATTCCATCTTGCTCGATAAAAACGCGGCTCGAATGTTGAGAGCAACATGGGGTGTGTAAGCCCATAGTTAGCTGACCTTGTTTCCATGACGGTAGTTTCAACTGAATGTTGCCGCCTCGGTGGCTCCGAGGCAAAGCGCCGGCCTAGGGATCTTCATGTGGCGGGTTCGAATCCCAACCGAGGTGCCGGGATTCGATGGAGGCGCAGTGCGGAGAAGGCGCCGTGTAACCGAGCATAGAACAGAAGTTTCGGTTGCATGTAAAATTATCCCCGGGTGCGCTTAATATCACGGAGCTGGAAGCGCTGTGAAAACTTGCCGTCAACCCCTGCAGTGCTCAGCAGCAGCGAGCTCAGTTATGGTCGCCAGTATATGCCAGATATAGGTAGCCCACTCACCTGAGCCCTCGGTCTTGGCGAACACGGTGTTGCTCTGCGGTCCCCTGCCCGCCGCGTTGAACGCAAGGGCGTAGAAGGCGTAGCGGCGGCCGCAGTCGAGCCCCCGGAAAGCGTACGCCGACCGATCAGCGCTCATCTGGATCTCGGACCACTCTCCAGCAGATTCGGAGGACAACGAACTTGAGCCGGGAGTTGCCTCGGCTCTCTGGTACAGCACGTAGCCTGGGGTAGTGCGACACGTTGCACACCCGTCCAAGAAGGGCTTCGACAGACACGCCATGTGAATTTAATGTGTGCACATTAAAAAAAAATGGGCAGTCCTGTGTTAAACCGCAGAACAGTCACAGTGCTAGCTGCGACACGTCACGGCGAAGTCGATGGGAATAAGCGTCGCGTTCACGCACCGTAGAGTGCATGAACAAAAGCGTTTGGAACAAAAATAGACATGCAACCATTTTGTTCCAAACACTTTTTTTTTTTGGAGGATGTGAAAGCGAGTCTTTCAGCACGAGCTTTTGGGATTGACAAGGCACAACAGGGCGACTCGAGGGCCTGGGTGCGAAAGTGTTTAGTATGTACACTTTGATTGTTAGAGTGTCCTTTCGTGACATTTCTTCTTTGCTTCTGCGCTTTTCAGATAGATCTTAGGAAACTATTTGTTATACGGGCATTCCCTTACAACGTATTAGAATACAAGATGAAAGACAAAACCGTCAAATGAAATCTGAAATCCTTCTTACGTATAATTTGCGAAACAAAATGAAATGGCGCGAGAGAATCGACCTCCAGTAAGCTTGGCTCAAGTCATATGCCCGGCACAACTTCATGAATTTGGGTAGCCAGACATTTTTGTTTGTTTGAACAGATACGTTTTTTACTTCCAGCAGCATCGAGAGTAAATCCGGCATCGACATCGCTGCACTCAAGTGATTTCCATGCAGACTGCTTTTTTTTGCGTCAGATATTCCGTTACTCGGGTGCTTTTGTCAGGCACCCACAAGATGCCTTTGATACGTTTTTCACCCGGGAACCCGAACCCTTTACGTCTAGAAAAAATATTTGAATTGGATGTCTTAAAAAAAATTGCGTGACAACAGGCATGAAACCGATGTTTTCATGCCTGACAGCAGGCATACAAACACACGTGACGTCACACGTGACATCACGTACGTGACGTCACGAGGGTTACGAAGCTCACGAGTGACGTCACTCTCGTGGCGTCAAGCAGCGCCTAAATTTGAAGGCAATTTTTCTGCTAAATTTAGCGGAAAATTTCATCGCTAAATTAAGCGGAAACATTTCCCGTTAAATGTAGCGGGGAAATATTTTCGCTAAATTCTGCGGGGAAATTTTTTTCGCAAAATTTAGCGGGCAATATTTTTCGCTAGATTTACGTCGCAACTTCTGCGCAATCTTTTTCTGCCATATTTAGCGGGGATATTTTCCCGCCTAATCTAGCGGGACAATTTTTTCGCTAAATTTAGGAACTTTTTTGCCCAATTTAGCGGGCAATTTTTTCAGCTAAATTTAGCGGGGAAATTTGTTTGAAAATGTTTAGCTAAATTTAGCTGTGAAATGTTTTCGCCACAGTTAACGGGAAAAAGTTTCTCTAAATGTAGCGAAAAACTTTTCCGACAAATTTAGCGGAGAAATTTCTCCGCTAAATTTAGCGGGGAATTCGCCTGGAAATCGTGGGATAATTTCCGGGCAAAATCCTCTCCGTAGCCTTCCCTCCCCTACATCTCCTCCCCTCCTCCTCCTAAAGAGCTGCGCTCTAATTTGGCATGACAGATAATTGTAAACGTCTTTCACTTTTTTGTCCTGTAACATCCAGCTCAGTAGAAATCGCGCAGTGCGGAGGCTCTTTCAAACAGACTGAACAGCTTTGTTCATGGAACACTGATGTATGATTCAGACTCACCGCTGACAGGTTGTTCTTTGGCTGCCTCCCAGCTGAGGTGCACTGAAGACGACGTTGAAGAGACTAACTTCAGGGACGGTGCGTTGGGAGGGTCTGCAAAGGACGGTCAGAACCGATACAAAACTATTTTAGGCACACCCCTTATTAGGAACCGAGGCTCAACACGGTTGCCGCGACTTGAAAAGTTGGTCAATATTCACATTATTTGGTCAATATTCACATTAGAGCTACATGCCACACATACAGGCATTGTCGCTTCCAGACGTCTCATTTATATTTCGCTATAAATTAACAGCCTTGCTCTAATGTGAGCCAAATAATTGGTGCGTGCATGTAAAACCCTAGATTTTTTTAAGGAAGACATATTTAATGGCATATCTTTGCATGTGAAGTTTCAAGATGTAGGTCTGTCCGCGTGAAAACTGATTACAGCCTTGTCCTTTTCATCTGCGAGCTTTGACGCAAACGATAGAGGTAACCAAGACTTGCGTTTGCGTAGCCATCTCCAAATAAGGAGAACAAGCACTTCGGTCAAAAGCGTTGGAAGCACAAGACATCGTTTTTTGCTTTCTTCGCTTATTGTGAGATGTCGCAACAAAAACAACTCTAGATGAACTCGGTCGTCTGCATGAAAGCCCGCCGTTGAAAATGTCAATGCTGTTCTAACTTTTTAACGGGAACGGAGCTCCGTCATGAAATTTCATAATAATATCCACCAGTGACATATATCTTTCGTGAAGGTTTGAGAATGTTACTTGTAGGCGCCGAATTTTCTGGCCGAGTTTAGAGCGTGCACTTTAATTCCTAATACTTTATACGAGGCAATATTTGATTTTGTACATAAAAATGGTCGACACTGACCGATTTCCAGCGTCTGTGCGAGAACTTCTTCCGAGGATGGTCCCGCCCCCTTGGCGTTGAAGGCCTGAACCACGACGCTGTAGCGCGTGTTCTTGCGCAAGTCGGTGAGTTCGCATTCGTGCAGAGATGACGACGATGCCGTAAATCCATGACCTGCGGCAGCCGTAGATGCATCGAGGGTCTTGTAGGCGTACGACTCCTTTGATTCCCGGACACGGTAGCCCACGTAGTAGCCGTGAACGGTGCCGTGGGTCTCTTCTTCCGTCGGTGGCTGCGAATACCGTAAACTGCTTTACCGGGAGTGTGCGAGTTACGTTTACGATCTCTTGTGATTCTTAAGGCGAGTGATAGTTCAAGCCCAGTTGCACGTGCTCACTTTTCAAAAGCTCTACGGGTCACCACGACATAGAAAAAAAGCAAGAATTAACTGGATATATATACAAAACTAAAAATAGCCTAACTTAAAAACAATCAAGTATCAGAACACTGACAGATGAAACCTGAGAGATAGTAAATGGTTCTTTTTAAGCCACCAGACAAAACATTTATGAATCGATACGTTACCAGGTGTTTAACGGGCTCTCTGAAAATTAAGTCGCGAAATACATCATTTTTGTTTAATCGGTTCAAATTTTTTTTTCTGTTAAGAGCAATCTTAAAGCAAGAAGCAATGCGGTTTTGCTTCATTAATCGGATTTTAATATAATCAAGTGACCTGTAAGAGTTCTTCATTGAGGGCATCTCAATACGCTGATGTCTAATCGTGTTTTTTTGTGATCGATTCTCTTTCAACAAAAGTGGGGATACTAGTATTTGGAGATATATACCTTCCAGACGACGCGAAGACTTCGTGATCCGGTGGCTGTGACCTTGATGGCACGCGGTGCGCCGCTCGGTGCTGTAAACAAAAGGCGAATCGGTGCATCACAAACCGGTGCTGTATGAGTACCTCGGCTCACGTAATATAACCTCACTAGAATTTTAAATTATGAATTGCTTTTAGCGGAACCTTCAATCCTAGACCTTTGTTCGTTTGTTCGACCGTTCGTCCATTCATTTCCCGCTAAATTTAGCGTGTAGATTAACTTCACGTGATCTATACACCATATCAGCATCCGCGCTAAATTGAACGGGGAAATCAAAGTCACTGAATTTACACCAATAGAACGATTTCACCAGCACGTTTCGCTACGCCGCCGCTTCCGCAATGCATTGTGCGACCTTTAAAGACTGTGCGATGGGGCTAGTGTTGTCGTGGGCGGAGATGCAGCGACGATTTGGCTGGCGGCCAGCCTCGCACGGACGGCGTCAGCACTGTTGTCTGAGCGATTTTTTTTTTTTTTTTGCTAGGTTGTTATGTGGAATTTCACGTGTTGGCGTTCCTGGCTCCAGCAACAGCCGCACCAGACAAAAGGGTGTCGAGTTTCATAACTTTCCGGAGGACCGACAGTTCAGAGAAGAATGGATCGCCAAAGTTCGCCGAGCAGGCAGTAAGGGATGGTAAATGAGTCTTCGCTTTTTCCAGAAAGCTAGATTTTCAACGAAAACAAACTCACACGGATCGTGATTGTCCTGTTGTTGAGAATGTATTAGGCCAAAACCGACAGAGCCCGCGGAGTGACCCTGGGTCGGAGGTGCGATATGATCGTGCTTGCGTCCGATCGTGTTTGAGTATCGATGCGGCATCTCGTGTTCGGCACACACTCGGTAAACACACGACTTGTCTTTACTGGTAGCTTTCTATGCCATTGCTTTCTGCGTTAAGGTTGTCGAAGTTTGTGCTCACGATTGGACACACAAAGCGAAATTATCGATTTTTTATTCACAGCCTTTGTTCGCTTGCCAAGTGCACGCGGGTACGTGTAATAGATGCCTCAATCGTAGTGAGTTAAAGACAAGCCTGGCGAGTTAGTACCACAAAATGTGTTACAACCTGGGTCGAAAGTAGAACCAAGGAACGGAAACATAACATGATGTAACATCGGTTATGCGCATTTTCAATATGTAAACTAATACCTTGATTAAAAACATACCCCTAAATATCCACTTTCTTCAGAATTTCAATGTACAATAGCGTATAGAGGCTATGAATATACTGAAGCAAATGTATCCACTTTCCTATCCAGTGTCTATAGCTTTTTGGTCGTTTCCCTTCTGTAGACTTTCTATAGAACTGAGTGTATAAAAGTTTGATTAAAATAATGTAGAGATCAGAGGTTTTCTTGGAAGAAGAGCGTGTTGGTTTAAGTCATGGACGAAGAAAGACAACGTGTCAAACCCTTCCCTCCTGCTGACGAAAACTGAGGTTGAATTTTTAAAATCCGAGATAACCCTACCACTCTGACTTGCACTTTGCGTTTCTTTTCTTTCCTTCTCTCCCCCTTTTCTCCCCTGCTCCTACTGGGTATAGTCGGCTGCTCGCTGTTTGAAAGTTTACTCGTCTGTTGCTGGTTGAAAGATGTGGTTGTGTTGTCCCTGTTTTAATTGTTTTATTCTTTCTTCATCCATGTCAAAGGTTTTAACAACGTTTTTATCCGCATTTTACAAATAACTAATTAGTGTTCCACAAGAAAATTACATTCTGAATATTAGTTTTAGGTTTGTCACATTAGAGTCATGGAAACATGCACTGCCAACTTTCAGTGTGTACAAACACAGACATCACAAATACGCACGCCGCGAAGCACTCCTGTCATTAGTAATTCAGTAATATTGACCGCTCCACCGCAACATGTGCCTTACACTTAAAAGGCAATCACTCGAAGGAGGACCGTACGAGAAGATAAAATGAGTACAAGTATGTTGCATTTATCACTCGTAATTTGTATGACATTTGGTTTATAAGGTTTGGTGAACTGTATCTCCAGCTGTAAATCATTGCAAGAGGCGATAATGATTTGACACAGCCGAAAAAAGCAGCCTGCGCAGTGAGGATTCAACTAGATGTGATGTCGCTTCTCCTCACTCATCTCATTTTTCGATTCATTCTGGTTTATATAAATTATTTAAAAAATATGGCGACAAAAAGTATATTGATACGTTGTGATAAAAGTTTTATAGCATGTTTATTGTCTGTGCTCTATAGACTTTGGTTGCAGAAAAGTCTATAGAATGTATATTGGACATTTTTGGTACAACGTGACTAGATATGAGGTTGAAATAGTCATTAAAATGTGCATAGAAACTCCATTTTCTGCTTAAATTATTTTTGTAAGAAAAGAAAGCCAAATTATGAAAAATTAAAATAACAAGCTGTGTAACGCCTATAAGCACAAACAGCATGATCTGAATGTCCACAAAAGCAAATGTTTATCAGCAAGTTGCTCAGCAAATCATCCCAGTATTAACGTTGCAAGAGCTTAGACTAAACGCTAGCCTTATCTTTAACAAAAAACATGACGGGTATTTCTAGTTACATCAACAAGAGTCGGGCACAAAGGTTTGCGCAACTGCTTTAGAGTGGAAAAGCGGAACACTTCTACTTGTCCACGCGGTGTCACGCGTCAACGAGGGAACGAGGCGAAGGCGGCACCTAGGCTTGGGACCCCGTGTACGCACAGCCTCCGCGCTTCCTGGACTAAAGTTGTGGCGGCAGCTAAGATGCCTTGCTCAAATTCGCGCATGAGCCGAACGGTAGGTGAGATAGGTCTAGTCACTTTTCCGCAATACGAGTAAATGTACCGAAATAATGATATCACGTGATCTGATGTCACGAGACCTATATAACAATTAAATGTTCCCTTAAAACTAGAAAGAATATTGACGTCGCGCTATTTCACATCACGTGATCTATGCACTGAGTACGGTTCCGCGCTAAAATTAGTGGGTGAATTGATAAAAATATAAGTTTTTTCACTCCTGAAAAGGACAACCTTCTAAACAAATGTGAGTGATTGCTCTTTAAATCAGGAACATAGCCAGGGAAGGGGGGGCACGGGCCCTCCCCCCCCTCCCCCCATAATCTTCAGTTTTGCAGGGGCCCCCCTACCTCTCGTACAGCATTTCGTCATGGGCACGCACGCCCGCCCCCCCCCCCCCCCCCCCCTTTCCCGAATCAAAATCCTGGCTACGTGCCTGCTTTAAACAGTCCATTGCATGAAGGGCTTTGAAGAAAAAAGGTCGCTACCTTTTTCTATTAATAAGTGTTTTTGAGAATGGTGCGTTTTAGTTATCTGGATTTGCTACAGACATAAAACAATAGCGTTGAAGGTCATCATCAGTATTCACAGAAAGCTGAAATAGAACTAGCGTACCTTCTTCGTCAGTTGTGAGGACAAGCGAGTCGCTGTAGTCGCTAACGCCGAGAGCATTCTCCGCCCTCAGGCGGAACTCGTAAGTTGACTTGGGCTTGAGTGCATTCACCACGTGAGACAGATCCGTTGAATCGACGGCCACCAGATGCTTATCGGTGTCCCATGATCCTGAAAAATCAACGCATCAACTTATCTTAATTAATAGGATACTGTAAAATCATCAGCTCAAGTCTAAGTTTCCTTTCGAAAGACAACAGATCGCGTGAAGTTTTATTCGTGTAAGGAATTTATTGTTAAAAATACGAGTATTTTATCGTAATAGAGGCATCCGGTAAATACAAAGAAGAAATTTTTGACCGGCAAGCCTTTCATTAACCTATGATGAAGGCGAAATAATGGTTACGCTATTTCTCTCACGACAAAGGTAAGCAGACAAAAAGGTTCGGGCATGAATGCACTCACTGAAGGAACCCATTACAATAGTGGACAAAGGCATATCATCTCAAATAGAATTAGCGATGCTTTTTCGACATACTATAGCGTAGGTTTGTACACTTTAGTAGAATCCGATAGCAAAGGACAAATAGGAGATTGAGCAGCTCTAAATAAAAGACGAATAGGAAGGTAGATTGGCTGCTGGACCGAGAAGGTATTTTCCCCATCACTTACCGGGCTCAGTCTTGTACTCGAGCAGGTACTTGAGTACGGGACTGTTTCCAGAGTACGGCGGGGCCCAGACCAAAGTGGCAGCTCGACTGGTCGTCGACGTCGTCTCCAGACCCCGCGGCTTGTCCGGCGGCTCTGCGACATCAAACGCCCGTTCCCGCCATGAAGCGAGCGCACGAAGCAAATAGATGCACCACCTCAATATCACGGTCGCCAAGAAGTAGAGGGTGCGACAATACGAGCGGGCCCAACGGCTTTCGGGCCGGGCCGGCACTAAAGCTATGCGGGAGCCCCGCTTACGCTCAGTAAAACCTTTGATTGCCACGTCCGAGCATACTCTGGTCCAATCGCACGCAGGTTTCAGTTACGCTGCTTGGTACGTGTCTCCGACTAGTGTATTTACGCCGTTCAAAAAGTGGACCCTCGATTTCCGCATGGTGATGTCGCAGAAATGTCATGCTGTCGTTCGCCGCGATCCTGGCGGTGTCACAACAAGAAAGAATGGATGTGGCAGACGCCTGCTTTGTTGCAGGTCGCTTTTCAGCTTTCCAGCCCAGGGAGGCTTCGGCAGTCGGTAGTTGAAACGCTGCGACGAGAGCAAAGCTCGCGTTTGCTGGTTCTTTTTACCGCGACTTCTTGCGCCAACCGCCAGGGTCGCGACAACTGACAGCTTGACACTCCAGCTTCTCTGACGTCACTTGTTGGCAATTCGGGACCCCTTTTGACGTGCGGGAGCCATAGGACGTTAAACGCGCCAGTCTGATTTCATTCCATTACTAGATCTCCCAACTTGGTTGTCGAATATATTGGCGAGTAGAGCAACGTTATGCCTTGAAGTAACACCTGTTGACGGCGTGTGGCAAGGTATTTAAGGGGACTTCTGTCTCGGTTTGCTCCTTCCGTATTCCAGAGAGGCAAATGTATGTCGTTCATCCTCGCGCTTTCTGGCAAAAACGAAGATCTATAAATTGGTAATAGTTTATTTGGGCAATATTTTGTAGAGAAAAACCCCAGCCTCGAATACAAAATGGCGTCTAAGGACGCTCAAAAATTGTGACCCCAAGGTCGGGATGTTATTTTGCATACTATCGGGTCTCAAAGAGTATAATTCGAGAAACATATTCTTGGTTGGAGGCGGCCGGACATCAATTAACTTCAAGCCTATATATCAGCGTATCTTTGATGAATAAATCAATATTTTCATCAAACATACTACAATTTTTCTGCATAGGACCAAAATGTGTTGTCGACATACTGAATAAAAAAAGTAAACGAAAAAACTGGGTACTCAGGGGGATAAACACAAATATTTGAACGGACCCAAATTTATTTATTTCAACGTGGCAGTCGGCTTGTTAGCTTAGTACGGCCGAGGCTCTTCATGCGGCATTCATCCCCTTTCGGCTATAAGTAAACCGGAGCAGCTCATATTGCCGCTGACTCTACATCTGGAACTACGCGTACTATTTTTCTTTATTACCATGATTGCAAATAATAAACAAATTTAGGCAAAAGTTCAATTTAAGTCTGAATCCAAATAGATCAAGAACAAAATTGGTTTAAATCAATAAAACCGTTTTTTTTTTTTTTTTTTTTTTTTTTTTTTTGCCTACGCGGAGTCGGGGCCTGTCCTTAAAACTGATATTTGCCTCCACTTCAAGAACTGTCACGTTTGTGGGAACGAGGCGGGTCATAAAACTTTTCAATAGTTTACTGCTTGATAGGGAATTCTGTATCTGGAGATTAGTGGAACCTTAATTTGTTATTTATTGTTTTGTAAGTTAAGGTGCATCTTTGACTGCATTAAAAGCGAGAGCGTCAATCTTCAGATAGGGCTAATTCCGCGAAAAGACACTGCCTATAATGAAATGTTCCTGTTCTAATTTTACTCGTCCTAAAGGTATAAGCCAATTTTGGTTGTTTCTATTTCTATTGATGTATTATGTGCATATTTGAGGGTACTGACCCTAGAACCAGCAAAGCCTCGATTAAAAATAATGAATTGTTATAACATAGTCCGTGTTTTTTTCCTGATATATTCATGGTGGCTTAAAACGATATGCCCTTTTTAGGTTTTAGTCTGACACCTTAGTCTCAAAATATCGTTTCTAAAGCAACTATATAACAAAGCATTACAAGATAGATTGAATTTCGACACTACACGGTCTTTGAACCACAAGACGTATCTGTCTCTATGTTATGCACCTTGAACGACGACCTGGAAGTTGGTGTCATCTCTGCCGTACGCATTTTCTGCGTAGCAGCTGAACAGCGACGAGTCCCTGCGATCAGCAGCAGGGATGTGCACCGTGTACTCGAGGTCTTCTGCACCGGGCTTCTCTTCGACCACGTACCTAGACAGCAATGTCATGGCACACTTGAAATCACGTGAGACGTGACAGGCGTTTAGGAAATTTCAGTGCAATGATTTATAACAAAATAAGGCTCAAATTAAATAGAGGTGTCTAATGCCGAACAAAGCGATAGGTCACGTGATAAAAAAACAAAACAAAGCTACGTGTCACGGTCTTTGCCATGCTTCCTGTCACTCTTTGCCTAATTGTAGGCAACTTAAAATGACATTTAGTAAAGTACGTTGTTGCGCTAGTTGGTTCATTTTAGTAAACATATAAAATAGCGCAAAAAAAAAGGACAAGAAGTCCTTGTCTTGTTGTAATATGCGTTCTAGCGAAACACAGCCGGAAAACTCGAAGTGATTACCGACGGCTTCTACAAATGCTTGGAACGCGTCGGTTCCTTCGGCGACGGGTCTCTCATCGAGTTGAAAGGCATCCACGATGCGCTGCCCTTCTGTACCCAACAAAGAAAAAAGCATGGCTTTCTTACGACGAGGTTCTACGGCGTGTAACCCCGACGCGTCAAAGAACGAGAGAAAGGAACGCTTCCAGGCAGGCCAAGCCACGGCTGGCGAACCGGGTACAGCTAAGAACACGGCCGGCGGAGGGAACACTGTCGGCCCGACCAATGCAACTGACGGCGTTGCAGTGGAAGAAGGAGATGAAGTCATTTTGTTAAGGGTTATATGAAACGCAAAAGTGGAAGTACTGGACGAGGTTGTGTGCAGACAGAAACGCACCCTCAACCCCTGAAGACAAGGAGAACTATACTAAGCCTATACAGGAACATGGCGAGGCGCCAAAACGAAGACATCGGAGCAAAAAGGAAAACTGCATACTGGGACGCTTGCCGGGGCCTACTGCGGCAAAGCAAGCAACCGTGAAAACTAAAGAGCGGTTACGTGCCGGTATTCCAACCACCGAACCGGTACGCGGAGAGCCGCCGACACCTCCACCTGACTCAGCTGGACATCGTGCAAAAACCTCTAAAAAATTATCCCCTCCTCGTCGCCATTGTAGTATTCTAAGTTGAAAAGGGGACCAAAACTAGATGATAAGAGAAGGTGGTTACCGTCCGGTGACCGAAGCAGACGGCTGGAGGCGTAGAGAAGCAGACCAGCCAAGGGTCAGCGAGCATCTGTTCTTTTTCCGCCCCGCGCAAGGCGCGTGCCGTTCGCTCCTGTTTATTGCGTCATACCGGTCGGCGTGAGACCGGTAGCGCCATCTTTTTTAATTCAAAGAATACAACACTTGTCCTTGTCTTTTCTTGCGCTATTTTATATGTTTATTCAAAAGGACATATTTCTGCAACACGTTTCTGGAAAAGTTTGCAAGGTAACTTCGTTATATCTACATTTAAAATAGCTCAAAAAATTAAAATACACAACGGTCAGTGATGGCACAGCGCTCACTTCTAATGAATTAAATTGCACGATCCGTGACTCTCCTGATTATGCCAGTGGAACGTACCACAAAGCGTAAAATGAAAGAAAACGCATAAACTTCAGTAGGATTAATGAAAGTAAGTAACGTATGAAAAACAACAACGGCCATAAAATCCTCATAACCAAAGCGCCAATTCACCGTGCCTGGAATTAATTTATAGCGCTAAGTCTCTACATTATTTTGTGACATAGAAAACTACCCCTAGTGTGTTTGTTTGCAACTCCCATGTGTAGATCGTTTGGGAAAAACGGTATTTTTTAGATGAACTAATAATTGAATATGTCTGTGAGAATCAGCATGCATTTTAGTAAAAATATTCCCAGAAAAAAAACGTAAAATCTTTCAAACAAAAACCGAATTGTGTGGAGATCCATCAGTAGTGGGCAGTATGAAAGATTTGCTAGTGGTTGTGCCTCTCATACTGCTGTACAATTAGCCCTTGATAGCGCACATATGCAAAGATTAAATAAGCGAAAAAGGCGGCATTATCAAAACATACTAACCTGTTGTATATTTATTTATCTCTAGCTCCCTTCTAGAAGCTGGTTTTTTGAAGGCATCCGTTAATCACACATTTAATCCACAGATGTTTAACTTGTTTCGAGCAGCAGAACACAAGTGGACACGTCTTAGACGGAAGTACCTTATAATGGTATTAAAAGCATGCATCGGATCGCTCACCTGGGTTCGAGCGTGGGGTTAAAACCATGCCTGTCTCTCGTCCAGGTCACCGTGATCGGGGGCTCACCGACAACACTGCACGTGAGGGCAATGCTTTCTCCACGGCGAACCGTGAGTGCTTGGAATTTTCTTTCGAAGTGTGCCGCCACTGAGGACAAAGCAAAGTAATAAATATCAGCCACCGAGACCGCACTGAGACTTTAACTGTACAAAACTATCAGCCTATTCCACAAATGCAAACGAGTCATTTGCATGCCGAAATATAATTTAGTCGTCCAGAAGTTAATGCGGTAGTATGCGATACACTGAACAGACGCTTTAGAACTGTATGTATGAAGAATCCGGCGTTACCATAGTTTGTAATTTGGAATCATATATACAAAAGCTGTTGAGTAAGAAAATATCGAAACTATGTTTGTTGCATGAATATCGGCCTACAAAACTAACTTAAACGCTAAAATCCTTTTATACTACTTCGTTTTTCCAACCTACAGCATCAAAAAGAGCTTACAACTGTCTTCAAACTAATACAACGGTAGGTTATGTAGCTGAAAACAAAAACAACTAAAAACAGTATATTGAAATATTCGCTGTCATCAAAGGAAAATACATGTTTGATTGGCGTTAATTAAATTGGGTTATGATAACTTAACCCACGCTGTAGTTCACGTCCGTAAATATAATATTTGTGAGTGGCAGATGCATTAGTTACTGCGGCACCAAAAATATGCAAATATTCCGCAACAAAGAAGTAGCAGTCAAATGTTTTACCTCCTCCAACTTACTCACTAAATCTTTGACATGACGCTTCACATCTACGACATACTCTCGCAATTGGCGTTTTGTAACTGCAGCCTAAATTAAAGAAAAAAATATATGCTACGCCTATCTGAGAAAAATAAAACCTGAAAGAGAATACCATGGATGTCCAGGCGCACGACGGTGGATATTCCGGGTCCCACGCCGTTGATGGCCTGGCACATGTACTGTCCGCCATCTTTGCGGTCAGCCTCGCGGATGCTGAGCGAACCGTTCTCGAGAATCTGGACGTTGGCGTTGCTGATGATCACGCTAAAGTCGCGGCCGCCGCTGTCTCCTCCTGTAAGAAAGCGAAACAAAGACCATAAGTGAAGTGCTATCCTACTAGTCCATGTCATCAGGGCCCATGTACACTACAGCTTGTTTCTTTACGCTAAACATCCAAGCTTAGGGCGCAGACGTCCACAGCAGTAACAAGGACAAACTTTTGGGACCTTTATACCGGTCTTTCTCTCACGAAGGACCGCAGAGGATTCTGCAAGTCCTCGAAGCAAATTCAAGGCAGAGTGAGTCTCACATGACCTTTGGGAGGAGCGCAACGACACGCGAGACGCGTAGTTACTTGATACCATTTACAGCATGAATATCCAACGAATATAAAGATCCAACGAGTCGAAAAGTCCACTGGTGGATATTCCGTCTCGTCGGATATTAAGACACGTTGGACATTCATGCCTGGTTGGACATAACGTGTCATTGGATATTCAGACTCGTTGGACATTCAACCTCAATTGGACATTCCGTCTCGGCCTCCCGGTCTTATCGGATTTTTCGTCTCGTTGGTTATTCAAACTCGTTGGGCGTTCCGTCTCAGCTGGACATTCCTTCTCGCCTGCCTCGTGACCAAGTAGATATTGTACGCGGAGCGACATAGAGCTAAATTCCTCTTGCTACCTGATTTAAGCAATGTGTTTCGCAATTTTAGGTATTTCGACCTGATAGATCAAGTTGCTAAAAATATGTTCGTCGCTCAGGCGGATTTCAGCACGCTGGTAAAACATGGTAAATTTTTCAACTTCTACAACTGCCTAAATATAGGAAACAAAAAGACGAAGAAGTTCGCACAGCCTCCGCTGCACAAAACTAAATATTTATTTTAGAAGCATGTTTCATGGTAGGTTATTGTTCAATTACTACATTTCGTGGCGAAGTCGAAACGGGCTTCAAGAATAAAATGCAAACACATACAATCATGAATAATTTGTGTAAATAGGACCATCAGTTTTCACAAAAACGATATGGAGACGAAGCATCTTCGAGTGATAGGTTTCCGCTCTCGGCACGGGGCCCCTTTCATCACATCTTCAAGGCAGGACAACGTCATCAGTGGAAAACATGAAATATTTTTGCATTTCCTGCGTCACTAAACGACAACTGAAAGAATTGTTGAGTAGCCCCTGGGAGAACACCGGGGTTTGTGATTCAGTCCACGAAAATGCAGACGTCCTGGTAGGTCGCAACGTGACCACTGTTGAATGAGGCAAGCGCATTCATTTTTGCGGTGAGCCTCTCGCTTCTTGCCGAGACACAGTTTGATGTTGGTCTTTCCACCTCTACGGGTCCGGCAGAAGAGCCTGGATTCGAGTTTGTGCGGCATATTGTGCATCCTGAAGATAATTCGGGCTCCTTCTTGCATTCTTTTGCTTGATTTTTCGCTTACTAAAACCTTCAATAAACAGTTAAAAAAAAAAAAAAACTACTGGCAAAGTGGTGTGACAAGAACATCGTTTTAAAATTAGTCGTAATTAATTAATTATGTTTCATAAGTTAAATACTGGCGCTTTCAGAAGAGGCTTATAAGCAAATCACAGTTATTTTAATCGCATAGTGCGGTCTGCTTTATTTTAAAGCTTGACTCGTTTTTAATTGGAACACCCTGTATAGTTTTGCAGCAGCAGTGCGTGAAACCAGCCGTTTGTTCTGAGGCCAAAACAACAAAAACATTTATTTTAAATCAGTCACAAAATTTTTAGAATCTCTCAGGTAAATTTTATTTCATTAATGCTTTCTGTCACCACCCGTTTATTTACAGAGAGCATAGTCTCAACATAAACATATATGTATTCAACCACAAACTGCATACGAACACATTTTCAGCATCATGTTACTTTAAGTTCTAACTTGTCGTCTTGCGCACCATACAGAAATATTCTATGTCTCCACGGCTACTGCATTGGATATCATGTCTCAGTGCACGTTCAGACCTTGTTGAACCTTTCGTCTAGTTGGATATTCGGACTCGTTGGACATTCCGTCCCAATTGGACATTTCATCTTCATGGATATTCCGTATCGCCTGTCACGTGACGAACTGTATCTTTCGACTCGTTTGATCTTCCGTCTCGATGGATATTCAGGCAGTAATTGACTTGATAAGTTCACGCAGCGTATTGGCTGGGATGGCGGTTAGCGCCCACTGCAGTAGACCCTAAGAGGAAACTCCTTGTTTTATTGTGTTTTCAATATGAACCCACCATCTCAAAATATAATAGGAAAGGGACAAGCGACTATTAATTAATCATATATGGTGTAGCGCAATTTCAACAAACTTTGTGGGACCGACAATAACACGGTTCGCTGTGCAACTTATTTCCTTCCATCCCTTAAGGGCGAAAAATCCAACGTGCGACACCAAAGCAAGTCAAACTCAAAATGGCTTAGTATACTCTCTGCTTTACGGAAGTGTGGTTCCAAAGCCCTAGTACAGTCATCGCTGCATAAATGAAAATATTACAATATCGGGCAACTTCGATTTATCGCCCAAAAGAGCAAATCTTCGATGGCCATAATTTTGTGACACACAATTGCGGATCGCTCGTCTCTAACTGCGCCTTTTTTGGATTACGGACGCGAAAATTGTCGCTCGCTATGGTTGAAGAGAAGCGTCGTTCGCGAGCTAAACATAAAGTAAATTATAAAACAAAGCGAATGGAACTCGAAAAAGAAAACTGGTAGTACAACCAAAGTAATATATTGAAAAAAATCTCTGAAAACGTGCTTGACTGGTTCTTACAGTCACGACATCTTAGCAACTCAAGCACTATTTTTTTTATATGTATTTCCCCGATGCACAAACAAATATACGCAATGTGGCTCAGAGCAGGCTGCGGCCGCTGCGGTTGTCGTTCTGTTACGTATCGTTCTTCTCACGTGTCACTAAACGTTTTGAGTGAAATGATTTGTGAAAATCAACCATCTTTTACTTCCCATATTTCATATTTCTGTTACGAATGAACAATGCCTTGGGGCAATTCGTATCTTATTCATTATTGAGTGACATGCGTTAAGAATAAAGTCGCTATCGTCATTACGAAAACACCGTAATTACTATAAAGGGGCCGGGACTCCGGTTAACATTACCTAACAAATCCTTTCGTAAAACAAAATAAATGTTCTGGAATAAATTGTTTTGAATATGGTAGGCCACCGACCGTGAGCCTTTTTCCAGCGGATGACCGGCACGGGAAAGCCGTCCGCTTGGCAGTCGAATACCACGGCTTGCCCCATGACGGCCGACATGTCCCTCGGCTCCTGGCGCCATCTTGGAGGCACTGAAAATAAGATCAGAAATTTATAAACTCGCTGTAGGACCAGGAAGGTTTAATTGAAGTGCTGGAAGAAAAACACAAACATAAAAATTACTAGTTTTAAAGAAATTAATTTATGCAATCTGCTGCACATTCACTTCTTCATCAATGTGGTAATTTATATACAAAAAAAGAAAAATTATATTCGGAAACAATTTACCAGACATGCGTTAAGATATTTGAGGTAACTTATAAAACAGGAGAAACAATTTTGCTTTTTTATATATATAAACGTTTCGATTATTACATGGGCTCTGCACATTTCCTTTAACCTTTGCGCGTGCTAGCGTGCTCGTGTACTGTTGTGTAGATTATAAAATTCATACTTTGTGCGCGCTTTGTTCTTTTACGTGAACAGTCTTATTCTAATAAGGATATTCACGTTAATTACACAACCAAATATTTCCTTACTTTTTTCATAATAAACGTACACTACTCTTCGGCTTTATACGAAGAACAATGTACAAAAACTGACGCGTATTATTTTATAATAAATAACCTAATCACAGTGAGCCCTAGACAGGACAAACAAAACTTCACCCCCAGAAGTTAGAGATAGTATTTGTTAGTGGTTAAACATCCTAACGCTCCTTAGAGCTATTCAAGGAGTGTCCAGATTAAAACAATTATGAAGATAAAAATTAGCTGAACGATTATTTTCAACCTATAACATAAACATACACTCGCAGATTGATTTTAATGCTTTTGTGACTCATTTGCAAGGCGAACAAGACAGCCTACTTGAAATGTTTAAAAAATCATGTGAATTAAAGCAGAAATAAGAAAAAGAAAATAATTTCAGTCACGTCGATCGAATACACTCAAAAGGGGAGAACAGGTCACTTTACTTCTTTTTTTTTTTCTAGGAAGCTAATGTTTCGTGATCAGAATATAAAATCGATTGTTATTAGAGAAAAGAAATAACGAAAACATGAATCCACGAGAAATTGATCGGGAGTGCAAATGATCGATGGCTTTTTAAGCCCCTAAACCTAAACGAGACTATTGACATACCTTTTCCAAAACTTTCAGTGAAACTCAAAACTACATATATTTAGAAAAAAGTCGCATCCGGTAACATGCTCAAGCATATTTTAAGGAAAAAAAGAAAGGCCATACAGATTTCTGATACTTAATCGAAATATGGGAATGTTTTTTTCTTGCTATTTTTGTCGGACTACTAGGTTAATTAGTTATAAAAACTTGAACGTGATTGATAAGGTAAATTTAAGCGGGAAATTGAAAACAAACAAAGAAGCTAATGATGGGTTCATCCTGCGTATCAAACACAAACCAAAGAGGTTTTTTTTTATTTTTATTTTATTTCTTTGTTACGAATTTGACATTTGGAAATGAGATACCGAGATTTGTGCCGCGTGACAAACGAGGTCACGTAAAAATATTTAGTGGTAAAAAGGCATAAATCGGTAGATTATGTCGAGCTCGTTATGAGAGAAAAAAAAAATAACGGGCAATTTTTATGTCCTGTTGTATTAACCAACGGAAAATGAAGTCGAATTACGTACATGGTTAAACACTTGAATAATCAAAGTGAGGAGTATTTCGGCTATCGCGACACTGGCATTTTACGTGCAAACAGAGCTGCGTATATCTTGAGTGAAAAAAAAAACAGTGAGTGCGCAGGCGGGCTGGTGGATGATGATCATAATGTAGAAAACCCGAGACTGTGGTAAAAGCAAGGAAACGGAGTCGAAGAAAGACACGGGAAAAGAACGTATTTTTCCCTGTCTTTCTCCTTCGACACAGTTTCCCTGCTTTTACCACAGTCTCGGGTTTTCTACATCATGATCTTGAGTGAGTCAGATAATTAATATAATGCTTACGGGAAATAAATATAAAGTCAAGACACTATCTATTATTATTTATATATTTTTAATCTTTTAATTGGTTCGAAACAAAAATCACAAGCGAAATTAAGAAAGTGTGTTCCTTTCTTCTTTTTTTTTTTTCGCCAAATTTAGGCAAGTTATAGTAAAACCTTGAACTAAAGAGGGTGGTAGGTTAAAGTAAGGAATTAAGACTGAAGTTAATTTTGGGAGTTTTGAAAATAAGCTTAATTGATACTGGATAAATAGGATTACAAAAAAAAACAAGTTGGAGGTGCATTTTAAAGTATTTTTTATCCCGTGAATTTGAATATCACTTTCGTTTTCCCCGAAGATGTAACTAAAGGCGAGACAACACGAAAAACCTCCGACCAGTCGTTAGGTCATTGATCTTTCGGCCGCGCAGCGCCTGTCGCTCGAGTGGGCAGAGCGTGCAGTTCCAAACTTGCCAGGTATCTTCCCCGCACCAACAGCCCATTCACACTAGGAGCGGATCCGCAACCGCAAAGCGGATCCGTTCGTTTTCGTCATAAAATACGCGTGAATTTGCACTGAATCTTTCAGCAGCCGCATTCGCAACCGCTTCGCAACCGCTTTTCAACCGCTAGTGTGAATGCATGATAACACCAGTCGTGATATACTTTTATAACCTTTTTTTTCAAGAAAAAAGAAAAAGCAGATTGCTTGTGCATAGCTTTGATATACGGTGAAGATGCACGAGAGCAGAGAGTCAGAAAACCCCTAATTGGACGTCACGCGCCGGGAAGAAGGGGCTACAACGAGACTTTAAAAATTATTTTCTGCAGCCTCCGTGCACCAAATTGAAAAAAAAAAAAATAATAATATCGATAGTCGGGATCATGGAGGGAAAATGAAGACAATTTAAGTGTTTTCCTTCAAATGATAAACCGCTTGAGTTTTCCTTTAGGTGGGAAACCAACAAAAAACATTTGGCACGCCCCGGTGGAGGGCTGGGAATTCATTTCGACCACCTGTCTTGACGTTCATGGCGCCGTGTAGCACGTCTACACGGCGCCTTTTCGTCAAAACACCGCTGTCAGAATGCGGGCACCTCGTCCGGTATTCTAACCCGCCACGTGGGGATCTTAGTCAGGCGTTTTGCCTCGGAGCAACCCAGGGGGATAAGATTCGAGCTTTGTATCGTTATAAACAATTGCATTTATTCGGTCCAGACAAAAAAATCATGACGCGGGTTAAAGCTCGCTCTCAAAGTAAAGTATGCAAGCGCAGCTGAAACCGTCGAAAACACATATCGCTTGACCCGGAAACAAAGAGTCCAAAAAGAGGGCTATGTTCAGGAGGTGTTTCGATGTAGGCAACGTTGAAATTCTATCGCATTGCCCCGCACGACCTTCCGTCGTAGAAGAACGAGGGCGCCTTGCCCCTCTCTCTCTCTCTCTCCCTTAGCCAGCCGTCGCTCTTTCTCTCTCTCCCCGTCTCGTGCGGCGTCTTTTTGACATGTCTAGAAGGATCATACGCAGCCCGTCGGTGCCGAAGTCAAATTTGGGGAGTTTTACGTGCCAATCCAGCGACGGGCATCTGGCACGCCCCAGCGGAGGACTGAGGATTAATTTGGACCACCTGGGGATCTTTTGACGTGCAACCGAAAGCTCGGTTACACGGCGCATTCTCCGCAATAAGCCTACGCCAGATTGCGGGCACCTCGGTCGGGATTCGAACCCGCCACATGGGGATCCGTAGGCCGGCGCCCTCGCCTCGGAGCCACCGAGGCGGCTGCAGCCCGTCGGCGCTTCGGATCAGCTGTCCCTTCTCTTTCGACGCGCTTGTGAATACTATGACACAACCAGCGAGCCCGTTATCCCGCGCATTCCCGTGATAAGGAGAGAACAACGGAAAATGTATCTTTTCAGTTAACGACCACAAGTTTCTGGAGGGGAGAGGGTCACAAACAAGGGCTACCACATTCAAAAAGTTCCTCCACAAAAGAGCCTCCACATCCGAAGCACAAAAGGGTGGGTCCACTAGAACATTATTTTATCATATATAAACATGTGTCTATATATGTAAAGAAAGCGTGCTCTGTCATTTCCAAAAGGAGAAATAATAGGCACGCATGGGTTTAACTGTGTTCTTTCATAAAGTGATACAACACTTATTCCACTGAGGTTAATGCACAGCTTAAGCCGAGCTCACATTTCTCATACATTATGCAAAATACAGTCTGCAAACAAGAGTCACCGCAGTATCTGTTGTTCGAATCCCGCGTGCCAAGTTTCCTTCTTGAACATATTGACGGTGGGGCAATCGAAGCAGGAATCTCGCGCTGACTCGCGTTCGAATCTGTGTACAGACTGTCTTTTGTATAATGTATGAGCAGCCTTTAGGCTAAGTTTTATCTGAATTTGTATCGTTATACTCCAGACATGCATGAAGCTACATCAAATTTATAACGCAAAGTTAATAGGAAAACTTCATCCTTATACCGATACCATATTAAAAAGAAGAAAATATTTTTATACATTCGTCGTCATCACATTCAGTTATCTAACTAGCCTTTGTTTCAGGAAGAAAAAAAGGTCAACGGGGTCATGCCTGCCTTCTTTACTATAGCAAAATACCACCAATGTAGTTATTTGCCTCGCCCACCAACAAATACATTTAGGCATCACGCTCTAACCGCTCCTCCATTTAAAAATAACGGATGGTAAGACGTGTTATCGACTCAACTAGAGCATCCTGCCTTATAATGATACTTATTTTAACCTTGTTATAAAGTCGCGTTACTTATACAAAACAAACGATCCCCTAGATTACCGGGAAGTAGATACGCCCAATCCTCAAAGGGCTCCAGGTAGGCTAACCAGACCCAAGCGTCCAAGCGACTCCCAGCGCGAGCGTGCAATTTGCATCCCCACTCCTGACCGTCGGAGTTCACTGTTCCAGCCGGAACTTGACGTTGCCGAAATTAATCTGTTTCCTCCCAACTCCACTTTCGCCGCTCATTAAAACCCGACAGTTAATCGGGAACTCCTACCATCCCGGACATTCCGCTCCCACGCACCACCTTTCCGCACAGTCCGTCTTCTTTCGCCCCGCGTGCTTTTGCTGGCGAGCTTGCCTCCCAACTGGCATGTA